ATTTTACACCGTTTTCTACTAGAAAAAAAATTACGTGAGATTTACGAAAACCCCTCCTCCCCTCCAAGTGAGATTTAGAAAGATTTAGTTTTATCCCCTCCCCCCCTTGAACACCTCACGTAATTAATGGACGCCCCCTAATATATGATAGACTAACAGCCGTATGCATAGTCGATCGCCAGCGATTCGCCAGTGGATCGCTGCTGATACCGCCGAGATGAATCTCTGGCGATTGTCACCGAAAATTCATCTCTCGCAAGTTTTCATGTTATTTTATAGGAAAAATTAGTTTTCATGTTATTTTATAGGAAAAATTAGTTTTCATGTTCTTTTATAGGGAAAAATTTGATATTCGTTCATGGTTTTTTGAGTTTTAAGAAATGAATCATGAATAACAGGCGAGAGATGCCGGTGACAATCTCCAGCAATTCGCCACCTTTTCGGGCTTTCGCCAGCGGGGCTTTCGCCAGCGGATCGCTGGTGATACGCCGGCGATTCGCTGGCGAGACTATGCATATGGGTGTAAGCAGTGTTGCCGTTGCTATTACAATTGTAACAAATCTATTACTAAAAAGTTGCACCAGTACGTTATTACGACTTTTAAGAAAAGAGGAAAAATCTATTACCTTTTAAAATATCGAAATTTAAACTTCAGAGCCCACAATTTAAAAAATTAGAAATCTATGCATTTGTTATTTCTGTGTTTTCTTGTTTCAACAAATCCAAGATAGACGTCACTTTATTATTATTGTATTATTTTTTTTGTTATTGGTCAGTTTTTAGTTTAGTAGGGGATAACCACCAGCCTCCAGCATAATTTATATATTGTTTTTAATAACGTAGACCCCTTCAAGACTGAAGAAATACTAAATTACAAAAATTTACCCTTAGGTGAATTTTGGGCTAACATCTTTAAAATAAAAAAAAAACACTGCATGAACCAAATGTTTAAAATTTAAAAAAATTAATTTGTGGTTTATTCTCATTACCCCATTCTTTTGCAGCAGCAAAAATAATTTTCTCTCAACTTATGCCGCGTTTGAGAATCCACATCGGATGCATCTGAGATGTAGTAAATCTTTGATCACGTGATTCAGTATACGTAAATGTAATGGGACAGATGTGTCCGATGTGGATAAAAAAACGCTCGATATGTAAAAAATGCATCCGATGTGGATTCTCAAACGCGCCATGAAATAATAAAGTTTTATTGTTAAATGTATTTAATAATAGTTCTGGTACATTTATGTTACTTTAAAATATTATCTATTACGATTTTATTACCTTTTGGTTCAAAATTCTATTACGAAAAAATTAATTGGTGTGGCAACACTCATAGATATATAACCAAGACAGATAGGATTATTTACATAATTTTTGAAGAATGAACGGTGGTGTCACATACTTAAATAGGTATACGGCGTAAAACCCTCTGCGCATCTTTACTGAGTGTTTAATAAAAGAAGATAGAAATGACCGCCATTTTTATATAAACAAACTGAAACTTATGCAACCAATTTATCTTTCCATCTGTCAAAAGTGTCAAATTTTAATGTGTTTGTGAATTTGGTTAAATTTTTTTGTGTTATTTTAGAATATTTTGATTGTGGATATTATTTTCTAAGTGTATAAACGTTTTATTTATTTTAACATTTGTGAATAGACTTTAATCCCAGTATAAGTTCTCTATACTGGGCTTTATTCAAGATGTCTTGTAAGATCTTACAAGAACATAAGAAGACTTGCCAATAGATTCAAATGTTACATTCCACAAGTAAGTAATAAGATTTAGCAAAAATAAAGGATATGAAAGAAGTGTCTTTATATTATTTTAGGGTTCCAAAACAAGCAGATCGTTCCTTATTGTGGTTATCTGCTATATAGAGATTGGACAAAATTTCTTTTAAGTTGTTAGTACAATTTACTGCAGAATCAATAAGGACGACCCGTTCACTAAAAATTTGTAGCTTTTAGAAATTATACAAGAAGAAAGTAAATTGTTTAAAATAAAACAAATATGCAACCATCAATTTAATTTTAAAGTATCCTGGAAATTTTAATATTTTTAACTTCCTCTACTGTACTTTTGTCATTTAAAATTAGTATTTAGGTATTTAATCTATTATTTGTCGGCCTATTATTTATCAGCCTAACATATATTTTTAAACATTAAAATTTTTTTTTTGTTGTAGAATAAAAATTTAATTCGGATATAATATTGTATTATTTCTTTTAAAAAATCTGTACAAAATGATGTATTTAAAAGTGAAAAGACCTAGACATCTGCAACCAAGTTTTCATATTGCTGTATTTCTGGTCACCTATGTACTAGTAATCTTGTATAAAAATGGCCGCCCCTATGTTAAACAGGTCGGACGTCTCTCTTGCTCCGTATACCTATTATAAGTATGTGGGTGGTGTCCGCGGTAGAAACTCAATAATCGGATTGAACATTGATGCCAAGTTTACGTGCTTTTAACTATAGATATATATAACCAATACAGATTACACAATTTCTGAAGTCAACGCGGATGATCCTCGACAGAAATGCAATATTTGGATAAAATTAAAATATTGATGCCAAGTTTGCGATGTTTTTAACTGTAGTAATGTTATTGCGTTTGCTTGAATTACTGTTAGGTCTTTAAATTGTCCAAAAAAAAATAATGTCTGACAACAACGGAAGTAGAGTAGACCGCAATTGTGGAGGGTCGTATATTGTTTCATTCATAAAAATTCCTTCGATACAGTACTAGTCCAGGAGCCAGTTAATTTTTTCGTACTTGTTTTCCCGGTCCGTGTATATTTAAATAATCTATTCCCGGTGAACTGTATATTTAAAATGGAACGCCAATCTATTAACAAAAGTAAGCCAGATTGAATTCGCGCATTACGTCACATCGATAAAAGTGAGATTGTTTACAAAGTGCCTATGCAGGCCTATTTTGCCCATTTCATGTATTTGTTTTTAAATCATGTTAAATTACTATTTTTGAAACTCAACAAGGAGAAAATCCAATTAACTCTTCCGTTGTGTATATATATAAGATAAATTAACTAAGTTTTATTAGTAAAGTATTAATACTAAAATTTTAATGTAATTTACAGAAAATAGCTAGGTATGTATTTGTTTTTAAATAATTTGATAATTTATGAAAAAAGGGAGTAAAAGTGGAATGACCAGTGGCCAGTAGGTCAGTCAATACAAAGTATCATATATTTCTATTATAACATAACTAAAATACCTACATCTTTTAATCATAAGGACATAAGTTAAAAACTATTTTAATATATGCATTAGAATGAAGTAATAATAACTTAAAGAGACGAGGTCTTAAAGTAATAGCTGGTACAGCATGTTTTTTAAACGTTTCCTCATTGCTGCTAGAATGAAATCACTTACTATGAAATGTGCTCTAAAAACGGCATTTATAGCAGTTAGTGTTCAGTCTTAGGATCTCTTTCTAAAGCCCTCATCCAAGCTGCATACATATTAAAAAATAATAAAAAAAAAAACATATTATATACCTATATAGTTTTCGGTTCTGGGTGCCCTAAAAGAGGACACTTAGCCGAAAATTTGGCTCAGATAGCTAACCAAAAGTTACACCCCGAACTAGGACGTATTGCTATCCTTTTAAGTAAAAAATAACTACAAATAACTTACCTGAAAAATGAAGGCGCCTAACTTTGCACCAAAAAAACCATACACTTTTTCCCATTGTTGCAAGCACCCGATGACGATTAGGTAGATATCAACTAGAAGCATGTACTTAATGGTTATAAAGCTTATTTTAACACAAAAAGAATAAAGCACTAGTCGAAAAGCAGCAATCAAATATAAATAGACCACAATATTAAAATTCAAATTAAAAACTATATAAAAGACAAATACTCTAAATGCGCAAAAGATCAGAACCAAATAAAATGAATAACCATAATAACCTAAAAATCACACTAAAATTGCAAAAACTGTTACTGTAAAATCATGAGATTACATCAATAATGCATATGCGTCGGAGTATCGCAAATGTCAAAAGTACAGTGTTTCCATGAAAATTTAGCTATGTTTTTAGCAGTATTATAGGACCATTTCTACCACGCGCATCCAACGATATTGGCGTTCCACAGTTCACTGTATCTTCCTCACACCTCTAGTATAAATGATTTGACATAACGAAACTAACAATAATTATAATTAATGTATATATAATAATTAATAAGTGATTCGTGAATTTTAAATAAAACAATTATTATATAAAAGTATAAAAGGAAATGTAATTTATTTCCCTATTTTCTTCTGTAATATCTTCAATTATTATGTTTAATTTCTATAAATAAACCAACTGGTTAGGTGAAACATTGTGATTTTATTTATGTGTCCTATGCGTACACTTTAATATACAAAACACCTGGAACATTCTTTAAATAATTGTGGTCGTAGAAATAATTGTGTACATAACTCGTTTGAAAGTGTATTTTATGCACTTGCCAAATATATTATCCATACAGATTAATCAGACTATTTTTTTACTTAACTTCAGTACATCTCTTACTACTAAAACTATTTTTATCAATGGGAAAAAAAGAGCCGTGTTCTCGTATGTTTTGACGCATTTTCGGCCTCAGCCCATCGGATCCCCCCTCTAAATATATATGAATTTTGCTTAGAATTGCTAATCCTACAATTCTCTATTCGTGCTTGCTGACTGGGAAAATAAATACCGATAATCGTCACTGTCTCCTGGACTATACAATAGATGATGATGAGAACTTCACAACAAATACACTTTTATGAATGGCTAGTTGGGGATGTGGCAACACTGGGTGTAAGTATTTATCAACACCACTTCCTAATTGGCCTACCTTATATACTTATTTTTAGATGTTGGAGGAAATATTTGAGGATTTCAAAACATCTTTTATAAAACTTTGTTAACAATATGAACACGTATAAAACAACATCCTTTGCGTAGTACTGAACTAAACTTATTTTTTAGCATTACCATTGCCTTATGGTCAGTTGCCAATTCTCGAACACGACGGCAAGATAGCATATCAATCACTTGCAATTTGTAGATACGCAGCTAAACAAGCTAAACTGGTTGGCAGCAATGATTGGGAAGATTTGGAAATTGATGCTGCCGCAGATACAATTAATGATTTACGTATGAGTAAGTATGCCAGTTCAGTGGCGTGTCTAAAATTTATTCCAAGGGGACTTATTCAATTTTTTTTCCAGTTTATAAACCATACGTACCTATTATTATATTATGTTGATCGTAACAATATTATTTGTTTTCAAAAAAGGAATATTTTTTAATAGTCAGAAGATTATTTAAAATATAAATGTCAAAGGTATACAGTGTGTCTACTTAGGGAATCCTATAGAAAGCTTTTTATTATTTATTTTAATAAAAAAGATTCTTCAATAAACTACAAAATTCGTTTAGTGTAAACAACAGTTATTTAGGAATTTCAACTTTGGACACAAAATATAGAAATGTTATTACATTTAAAGGAAATAAATTTCAATTCTTAAACGTGACCAATTAAAAATAAACAACAAACGAAAAACTCAAGAGCGTTGAAAATTATTTTCTATCTCTGCTATTTATCTTTTGATATAATGCAATGACTGTTGATGTATTAGCCAGAAGAGAAGTTGTTTTTAGGAGGAAAATGGACGCTCCCTGTTTCTGCGAAACAGACTTTAGTTTTTCTCTTTTTTCTTTGTTGTTTATTGAAATTTATTTCTTTTAATAATTGTCAGTCTGGTTATTATTCTGCTCTTTTTTAGAGAACTAGGTACCACAGCAAGCTTTGATTTTGCTTCATAAGTGCAGATGGCGTTACTAGTTTTGCTCGTTGAATATCTACACTATCTACACACACTCAACCTCTGTTATTTAAAGTATATGCGAGCGAATTTTATATAGCCGGTAGAATCTATTAGAGACTGATGTAGATATTGTTTATTTCTTGCTGGTGAGTCCTAATAAGGATGAAAACGGTCTAAAAATGACGTTTTTCTTCGGAAGCAAAATCAAAGTTAGAATGTTGAAAATTATTTTCTACATCTGATATTTATTTTTTTATATAATGCAATGCCTGTTGCGGTATTAACCAAAAGAGTAGTTGTTTTCAGGAAGAAAATGATTGCACATTGTTTCACGGAGACGGACTTAAGAGTTTTTCTCCCGTTCCTTCATTGTTTATTATTTTTGTCAAAAACCGAAAATAAATTTGATATATTTGATTTTAGAGATCGGCCAATATCATTACGAAAAAGATCCGAAAGTTAAAGAACAGAAGAAATCTCCTCTTTTCGAAGAAACCCTTCCGTTCTACATTGAAAAATTCGAAAAACAAATTGAAAAAAACAACGGATATTTTGCTCTTGGTAAAGTAAGTATCAATATGTGATCATGTCTTTTATTTTAAAAAGTACCTAAATCTAGGCCACACTACACTCTGGTTATGAAATATCGTTCGGTAGGATCGGTTATAGATGTTTGGATTATTTGATACGAGTTATTTTTCTTTAATTTTGAATAGTGATTCTGAATCTCATGTCAATATTGACTGGTCTACTTTATTACTGAAATTACATATAAACATGTGCTTTAGGTCGTTTTTAAAGATACAGGGTGTTCTCCTGTAATGTAATATAATATTTATATAAACAAAACCTACCAAGTTTAATCAGTCTACTTTATGACTAACATTTCATATAAACATGTGCTTTAGGTTCCATGTATTTTCTTTAGTTTTTTTTTTCGTTTTAAAAAATGTTATGAATAACAGATAAATAAATTATCGGGCCAAAGTTTTTTATTTTTTCGTTCCGTTTAAGTTATATTATGCTATACGTGGTCCTATTGTACGATTTTTTTGTCGAAAAATTGGCTAATGTACAATTTTTCTACTCTACTTGTACGATCTCATAAAAAAAATAGTTGGCAACACTGATGCAGATTGACTGACCTCGGCATACCTTGTCAAGGTTATGCTGACCACAAAGCACATAGAGGTTCCACGTGAATGACTAAGGTACCAAGGTCAAAACCGACAACTGACATTTATTATGCTATTTGCTCCAAACTCTGGATGGGGCTACTGGTGAAATTATGATTTCTTATTCCATTTTTAAGCTTTATGAGAGAAAAACAACCAAAAACTCCAAAGATGTGACGTGTATTTATTTATGTTTTTGGTTAGTTGCATTTTTCCGTCTGATTTTAGTGATTTTTTGTTGGCTTTAGTTTCTGTTTATAGTTTCGTCTTAGTTATTTGCAAAATTGTGATGTTTTGCTTTTCTATTTCATACTGTGTTTTGCAATAATTTTGGTGCTACGTTAAAAACTTCGAGAAAAACTTCAATGATTTACCATGCATCATGAAAAACGGGTAATCAATTTATCACTGGACTAGATTCCGAAATCATTTTTCACATAAGAAGAGTATACCATTTGTATTTGGAAGAAAAATATTTATCAGTGAATGAATAGTTAAAAGGATTCACCTTCCTGGCTCACGAGCTAGGATGTGCCTATCATCTTAGGAGATGCACAATGGGCCTAATGAGACACAAGTGCCGTGGGGGTAACCCACCCTCCACACGTTACAGAGAGAGGATTCACCTTTTAACCCAATACCTATATTACATTTATCTTTCAGGTAAAAAGACATTTATAAAATATAACTTTAGTGTTAATAAAATGTTATATCCTAGTTTCTACTTCACATTTCAATATATTGATATTGTAAAGATTTGAGATTGTATACCTATTTACTCCAAGTAAGTATTCGTTAAATATGTATTATTATTTGTATTTATTTTGTTCTAATAATATTTATTTAAGTTATTAATAAACATATTTTAAGAATGTTCTATTTATTATTTATTGATATATCTTATTATAACTACGCAAAATAAACGTTTTCGGACCTATGTTTATATAAACTTTTACTCCTATTTTAGGATGCAGATTATGCTGTTAAAATATGACCGTCTAATTTCGGGACACCCTGTATATATATACTAGCTGACCCAGCCACGCGTTGCTCTGGCTCAGTAATTATAATACATTGAATCAATTTTTTACTAATTTTTTGGTACAATCAAATTAATATTTTCTAAAAAAATTTAAAATAGATTCATTCATATGAGATTGAAAATAAAACGTTTCGCCAAAATTTAGTAAAGTATCGAAATGTTGGAAATTAAGCACAAACCAACATAATATACTTTCTGAATTTACATTTTATTCATCTTATATTAAATTATAGTTTGTAATCAGTGAATTACTTACAAAATATAATGTACAGCTGAATAAATTAATAATTATCAAATTATAAAATAAAAATAAAAAAAAATAAAAGGCTATCAAGAAATACTTACATGTTTTCGAGGTGGTATGAAGAATATTCTTGACGGGTAATGACATTTCCAGACATTTCAGGACCATTCCATCTTCTTTTACTTGTTTGTGCTTTTACTTATAACGACCGCAGCTCACTATAGTGTGATTGGCGATATTGCACTTCTTTTCATATCTGTACGTTTGCTATAACGGCCGCAAGCCACTGCAGGGTGTAGTGTAACATTAATGTCTGCCGGATACCTGTGCAACTTAGATGCTAAACCGCCATCTATTAGGAATTTATAGAACTAACCGATAAATATATACTAATGTCGTATAATAAACATTTAATTTACAATAATAAATATTGAATAAAAACTATTCTTTTAAGTTGGACCATATTATAAATGGTTACAAAATTTTATCAAAATCCGTTCAGTAGTTTCGGAGTTTATCGTGAACATACATCGTGACAATTTTATTTTTACACATATTTATAAATTTTATTGTAAGTTTACATCCACAATTTTTGTAGATAAGCACTGATGATGGCACCATGCTGAAAGCGGTTTGCATTTAATAATTAAAACAATTTTGCACGAAATACAAGTCTTTCCTTTTGAATCTAAACTACGTGCACAAGGCTGTCAACCTTTTTTGGTTATTTTAAGTTTTATAATTTTTATACTCATAGTAATCCGATTACAACCTACATTTCGACATAACTATATATTTTCAGTTCAAAAGATTTAATCAATGATTTAAAATAAAATTTAAGCAGTCAACTACAAATGAATATTTTTTTAAACAGGGTTTTTCCGAACTTGACGTCCAAATTTGTAGGGGTGGTAGTTCGCATAATTTGAGATTTCATTTTTCTAAAAAAAATATAATAAACAAAATAGAGCCATTATAAAAAAAATCAAAGAGCGGGTCCTACCCTGAGCGCGTAGCGCAATAGTCGCTTGATCGGTTACTCATCGGGATTTACAACTCAAAAACAGATGCGATTTGCAATTTTGTCGATTCTAAGCGTAGCGCGCGCGAGTCGAGGCGATCCCGTCGCTGTACAGGACCGTTCTTGTTTAAAATTTTTAATTATTTTTATTTTAAATATTTTGGAAAAATGAAATCTGCAAATCGGTCTCAAATTATGCGAACTACCACCCCTACAAATTTGGACGCCAAGTTCGGAAACACCCTGTATAGGTATTCACTGATTACTAATATATTTATAATATATATATATATTTTTTTTTTCAGTTAACTTGGGCTGATCTTTACTTTGTTTCCCTCCTTAAATACTTAAACTATATGCTGGGTAAAGAGTTAACTGATGGAGCACCAGGACTGAGAGGAATAAACGAAAAAGTCTGTGCCCTTCCTCAAATTAAGGCATATCTCGACAAACGTCCACAAACTCGATGTTAAGTATCTTATTTCATGTCAAGAAAGTCTGAACAAGCAATAACTATCTACAAAATCCTAACATAAAATATTTGAGAATATGAATATTAAAATATATTTAATAATACCTAATTATATGAAAAGTATTGATTGTTCAATTAGTTATGTCTTGCTAAATTGTCAAATTATTTAATTTTTTATTATACTTTCTTGCACCAAGACAATAAAATATTTTTATAATCTTATAATAAGAATTATGTGACACATCATTTATATTTTTTACTATCTCTTTTGTTAATTATCATAACGTACATTTAATAAATATTAATTTCTGATTTAAATATTTTTTTTTAAGAAGCAATGTGCAATATATTCTTAGAGTAAGCTTGGTGATAGAAAAATTCTTAATTTCTCACATAGTTATTTTATCAGCGACCAGTTTAGATGTAGTTTCATGATCATCAGTATAACATCTATTAATAGTGTAGTGCTAGTCAATCGAAATTATGCTTTCTGTGGGGGGCTAAGTGTCACAAGCTAAATTGTTAATGTATTGAAAACTAATATTTCAGAGATTCTAAAACCGGAGGTAATCCAAAATTAGACCTTGCAGAAAAAACGAGATAATTTGTGGTGTGAATAAACTCAAGCAATAGCTTGTTAGTTTTAGCAGTTGCTTAAAACGGAGTGAATAAACATGAGTTGCCTCTATGAAGTAATTGCTTACCGAAACGAAGTCGAATCCGGAAAAACCGAAGCTGTAACTTGGTCAAGCATTTGCTTCAACGGACAAAAGTCGAGCACTTACTTCAAAAGTCAAGTTGTGACATGAAAGTTTCTCGTTCTATCGCCGCTTCACATCACGTCTGTCTAGGTCAGTCTTAATTAGTAAATAAACTAAGTAGACATGTCAAGTTCTAGCGAAGATGAGGGTTTTATGGGAAAAAAGTTTAATCGGGGTTTATATAACAAATTATTGGCAGATAACAAAGTTGTCTTAGAAAAATCTAAATTACCGGCAGTTGTACAGGAGAAAAAAGAAGCGTGGGAAACAATTAGGGCGCTATATGCAAAGGGAACGGGGCATCAAGTGACGAAAGTACAGCTGACTAAAATGCTTAGTAATATGAAGACAATCGTAAAAAAAAGACCGGTGTCAAAGCCACGGGCAATAAAACAATAAAACTAAAAGTGTGGGAGAAAGATTTTTTTGCCATCATCAGCGATGAGAATAATCCAGTGTTTTCTAAAGTGCCTGGTAGTCTCATTGTCGGAGTAACTGTGGATAATGTAAATGTACAAAACAAAAAATGTATCAATACCACAACTTCAACAAATCGTATTATTACAACAATTTGAAATAAATAAAATGAAATTAGAGAGAGAAAAGAAGCTAAAGGAAAGTATGAGTAAGAAATGTAAAGAAGAGTCAACTCAAACCACAGAGGAAGAAACTGGGTGTTTTATTTTATATGAACAATTGTGAATAAATATTTTAGTTCCTTTGTGATTGTGCCTTATCTTGTAATACATCAATATTTTTCTCCAAAAGGTTTAGTAAAATTTATTAAAACTAACAAGAATTTTTTTAAAACGCCCTTTATAATAGTACTTAGTAAACAAATACAAGGTAGCGAAAAAGTGGCAAAAAGGTATTTTCGGGTAGAATAAATAGATTTTAGGAAAATCGCTCGGATAATTTTGACCTCGAGGGGGACATTTTGACATAAAAACCATCATTGTATCATTTCATCCCTTTGCTCAGCAATTCCAACCCTTAAAATTTGAATAGGAAAGGAGATCAAATGGCACATCGATTTAAAGGACGTTTAATTCTCTTTCCAATGGTACCCAAATTTATTCACCAGACCTCGATTTTTGTGCCCTTTTTAGGGTAAAAAAGTGTGGCACCTCATATGAAAGTTTATTTTCGTCTAGGGTATAAATTTGAATATCATTGGAAAAAGAAATAAACGCCCTTTAAAATGATGTGTCACTTGATCTCTCTTTCCTAATCAAATTTTAAGGGTTGGCGTTGCTGAGCAAAGGGCTGAAATAATATGATGACATGTTTGAGCGAAAATACCTTGTTGCCAGACTTTTTCGATACCTTATGTACTAAAAAAATTGAAATAAGCAACTCCTTAGATAAATAAAATACAGTATGAAAGTATGTGCGAAATAAACAAATTTTTACAATTATCATCATTTTAAATACCCAACTTGTCCAACATTTCTTGTCTTTTTTGTTCCCCGCGTAATCTGGTTGCTGCATTCTCGTACTGATCTTGAGCATTTGCATTTTCATGAATATTTTCGTTATCATCTATTTGATCTTCAAATTCGAACCGATCATTCAGATGTTTGGCAATATTGTGCAAAATAGCACAAGTTACAATCACTTTTGGTACCCTCTCTATATTAACCCTAACACAGTTTCCTAGAATTGGAAATCTTCTTTTTATTTGTCCAAAGACCCTTTCTATCACAACTCGCTCCTTTGTGCCTCCGTATGTGCCGGCTTGAAAGGTGTGATTAGCCATGGCGAAATTCCATAACCAGAATCAGCCAGTAAACAAACAGAACCATCAAATCTCGACAGGATGTTTCTAAATGGGGTTCTCCTCCATATACGTGAGTCATGAACGCTGCCCGGCCACTCCGCACTGATGCTTGTGACTTTTTCACTTGCGTCGCACGTAGCCTGCACATTAATACTAGTGTAACCCTTTCTGTTGACGTATTCATCACCAAATATTGATGGCTTGTTTATTTCGACATGCGTGCAATCTAAAGCACCTATTACCGAGGGCATATGAAAGCGAGTTTGCCACAAAACTCTTGCTTCATTCATTTCTCTTGCTGTCGAGGGAAAGTGGATCCAGTCATTAGCTCTTCTAATTATCTGATCCATCACAAAATTTACAGTTTTACACACTGTACTTCGGTGCACGCCAATATCTTCAGCAATTCCAGATTGAAAACCTGGGTCCCCTACGAATCGCAAAAGAATCTCCATTTTTTGTCTCGAAGTCAACGCACCACCACGAAATTCATCCCTTTCCGGCAAAAATTCGTTTGTCAAAAAATCAACACTTTCGTTTTGAAAACGCAGCAGTTCTTTTGAATTTACTTGTCTTCTTTCACGATAAGTTTTAACGTTGCGTACATTCATGAACATCGCCATAATCACTACTTAGATAAATGAAGCCTGCTGTACCCCAGACTTCAAAAAATCCAAGTAGTTGCTTAGATATAAAGAAGTATCTAATTTTTATTCACACCATTTTAAAGGAATTGCTCGGCTTTCCGGAAAAACCAAGCTTTTGCTTGGCCGAGGAATTTCTTCATATTTTATTCAATTGAATTATAGCAGTTGCTTCCAAAAATCATATTTTAAGCTAGTGCTTCACTTTATTCACACCACCCATTGGTGCTATTGCATAAAGCGCAACTTTTACTACAATATGACCGTCAAATCCAAAAAGTCCATAACAAAACATCAACCATATTTTTCTATTGATTGATAATCAACTTATAGCAATTAATATAAAAACAATCAATTAAAACAGTACTCGCTCGTTGACTTACCGTCTGTTTTTGGTGTCTGCTTCCTAATCACTTCGTATATCACATCTCAGTTGCACCTATGACTGTAAACATGTTTCTATCTCTATCTCACTATAATACTAGTCCGCCCATGCCGTTCTTAATTTTTTGTTGATAAATTGTTATAGTTCTGATAATATGATAATAAATGTCCAAAATTGTACAACTGAGACAGTTTATAGTATTCATAATTTTAGGAAAAAAAGTTCATATTAACAAGGGTCTGATATCGATCACTAGCGGGGTTACATGGGATTAAAGTGTTTCTTTAATTTACAAAAACATTGATCAACATTTGATCAAAAGTCAAGAGATGTAAAGTTGGATCACTAATTAAAAAAGCCAAAAATAATTTTATTTCACCAGTAGAGTGCGACTGAAAATGTATTATTTCTGTAAATTTTGAACCATCTGTAACTTTGCTACTGATCGAGATTAGATCATTGCCTAACATTAACCTTTTTGGTCAAAATTTATAACCTGTTTTTTTTTCGTACAATTTGGGACATCCTGTACTAGTAAATGGGATATTATTAATAATGAAAACAATTAATGTGCCACAAGTTAAATTTTAACGATAACATATCTAACTGAAAGAGCTCTCAACTTAAAATAATTATATCCCTTTAATCAAAGAGCTTGGATGTATATATTCATATTTTTTACTAGAAAAAGTACAACTTACAATCTTGTGTAATAGTTGTATTAAATTTTCTCCACGTCTTCAAATCTTTACTGTTTTCATCATAAAGTGGCTTTGGTAAAACAGTTGTTAGAGTGTGCTTGTTTTTGCAAACTCTTTGATCCATACAAGTATATGAACCAATACAACCAATATAATTTTTTTGCAAGAGCATACCTTACTTTCGCAACCTAAAACAAAAATTAATCTCTCATTACTATTTAAATGATTAATTGACGCTCATAAAACATTATCTTTTTGCATTTGCATGAGGCAAGGAATTTAGCATCCTTTGGAATATCTCGGTAAACTTTTAAAAATTGGTCGCAAATTACCTTCCAATGTTGTCGATTTTCCATCCAAAGTTAGTAACGACTGGTAGTTCCATTTTTGGTTTTAAAGAGTTTACCCAAATCTTGGTTTGGTAAAAAGCACTTAAACCATGGAAGCGTAAGGAATTGTTTGTTGGGTGTAGCCTGGATAAAATAGTTGAAGAGTCCATTAAACCTCTTAATACATTAAGAGAGAAAACATCGAATATAATTTTATTACAAATTTTTTAATATTAATAAAAAGATCTTTGAAAAAGTCGTCTGATTCAAATCCATTTAAATATTCGGAATGTTGTAGGAATGTTTTACAGCAACAAAATTGTTTAAAATACACCACAATAATAAGCATATCGGTATCATTGGAATCAATAATGCATGTAGAAAAACCTTCAGTTTTAGCA